ATTTTTCCACGTATTTACCCTTCTTAGCAGGTAAGACTAAATCAAACTTAAAAAACCAAAACAAAACAAAACACCTGTCTCAGATTTTTGAAGAAACGTCCCCACGGTCATTCAGCAAAGGCCACCCTGCAGCCCTACCCAACTCCTTCAGCAGGGCTAAGGGTCCGGCCCCTGCCTAGCGCAGCCGGCGGACTCACCCCGTTAACCTTTAGACACAAAATCCCCATGTAGAGCCCAATATTTAAGCCCCCCAGAGGGCCCTTTACAGCCCGCTGAGCGCACACGCCCTGGCCGATGCCGCCTGCGGGCCGGGGCCCGCGGCTCCCACCCCGGCCCCCGGTGCCGCCCGCCGCCCGAGCCCCTCTCACCAGGTGCAGGGCCATGGGCAGCGTCAGCAGGAACAGCCACAGATAGAGGTGGCAGCTGTTGGTGAAGGCGCCCTGCTCCGGGTCGTGGTACCAGCCCCCGGTCAGCGCCGCCCACACACCCTGCCCCACCAGCCGCGCCGCCGGCGACACCATGGCCGCCCCCCGCCGCCGCCACCGCCGCCCCTCAGCCGCCCGCCGCCGCCGCCGCCATGCCGGGCGCCCGCGGATTCTCCCATGGTGCCCCGCGACGCCGAGCATCCCGCCCGCCCCACCCCGGGCGCCGCCGCCGCCGCCGCCGGGAGGGCGCCGTCACGGGCCGTCCCCCGCCGGGCACCGCGCCCGCTCGGCCCCACCGCGGGCCGGGGCCGCCGCCCCACAGCGGTCCGCGCCCGGCTTCTGCCCGGAGCGGCGGCAGCGCTCGGAGGCCGCGGGGAGAAGCGGGGCCGGGCCGAGCCGAGCCAAGCCGCGGCGGAGGGGGGGTGGTTCAGGCGCGGGGGCGTCCGTCACGGCCGCGTCCCGCCCCGGGCACCGCGAGGTGCGTTCACAGGTGCAAAAAAAGCGCGGCGCAGGGGCAGCCCCGGCGGCCGCCAGCTGGGCTGCGCGCCTCGCCGGCCACTCCCCCACCGCCGGGTTCTCAGTGATCCTGCCCGATACATCACGAGTTTCCGATCTGCGAGCTCTGCCCAACTTCAGTGTCACCCGTTCTGCGTTGAGACATGTTTTGGGTGGGATGTGGGGAAATTCTTCAAAAAACCCCAAAACATTAGGATTCTTTCATAGATGGGTTTAGTGAAAAACCCAGTCTAAGAGTTTCGTGCAGCTGACCTCAAACTAGTGGGGTGAGGAGGTAGGGGCGTGCTGGAGGAAGCATAGGCAAAGTGGAGGAGAGTGGGTCTGAAAAGGTGAGGAGCTGAGTGGAAACCTTGAGCAGGGAGATTAAAGTCACTGAAGAAAGGCGTAAGGATATCAGGTATATTCTTATGGGACATCCCCGAAGGAAAGGGTGTAAGGATGGGTTGTGAACACCAGGGCTCACCACACATGGTGCTCACCATCTCCCATCCCCAACTATCAGAAAATAGCAGTGAAATTCAGTTTTAAGTCTCTCACAAGCCCCTTCTATGGACTGTTCCACATATATAGACCTTTATTACAGTCAATTTTGTGAAGGATGCATGTATGTAATGGAAACATCTATCATCATGCACATCACCAAATTTACCCTCCTTCAATTCTTCCTGTTCGTGGCTACAGTTTTACAGACCAAACATGCCATTCTGCTGTGCTTTGTGTGGATTTTCTTTTACAAAGGCATGAGACCAAAGATGCTATTAAAGTATTTGTGAGCTCATGAATCACATACCTCAGTTTTCTTCCTGATGTCGCAGGTGGTGTGGCCATGCTGGATGCTTGTTTTGGCTCGATAGGAAGGATGATGCAGCACTTTGAACAAGCGGATGGGAGCAGGGGAGGAATGGCATCAGCAGCACTGCCACCATTAGATGCCTGAGGATCTACAGCCTTGAGGCTTGAGTACTTGCTCAGTGTGACCTCGGTGAGCAACGAAATTTCCTGAGCTGTACGAAGAAGGCACAGTCCTGGCTGTGCCTCATGTGCTACTCCTATAAACACATCTTGCCAAGCTCCAAAATAGAAAGGTGGGTAAACAAGGGTGTAAATAGAAAGCTTCTTCAAAACCTCCTCTCTTATTTTTTGAGACCTCTAACTCATGTAGGTTAGAATGTGGAAGGCCTAGATAATGCAGACTGCAATTCATATTAGGTAGACTTGTTGTCCTGGTTTTGGCTGGGATAGAGTAAATTTTCTTCTCAGTAGCTGCTACAGTGCTGTATTTTGGATTCTATATGAGAATACTCTTGATAACACACTGATATTTTGGTTGTTGCTATGTCATGTTTGTCTTAAATCGAGGAACTTTTTGTGTCTTGTGTCCTGCCAATGAGGTGGTAGAAAAAATAAAAGCTGGGAGAGTGCATAACCAGGATAGGTGACTGGGGAGGAAGAGGGGGACATTTGGAGTGATGGTGTTTGTCTTCCCAAGTAACCATTACATGTGATGAGGCCCTGCTCTCTGGACGTGGCTGAACACCTGCCTGCCCATGGAAAGTAGTGAATTAATTCCTTGTTCTGCTTTGCTTGTGAGCGTGGCTTTCCTTTCCTTATTAAAGTGTCTTATCTCAACTCACAAGTTTTCTCACTTTTACCCTTCTGATTCTCTCCTCAATCCTGCTGGTGGGGGAGTGAGTGCCTGCATGGGGCTTGGCTGCTGACTGGGGTTAAACCATGACACTTGTCCACACATCACTCAAATCTTTCATTTGGATAATGGTGACACCAAGTATTTTTTTGGTATAATGATACTTGCAGTTATGAAGGGTTCCTGTAATTTCCAGGTCAGGATATGTGTTCTGGACACAACGTAGATGCACAGTATTGTAGCTACACAGTTGCAGGAGTGCCAAAGATGAAAAAAGGGACGTCTTTCCTCAACAGAGAGATGCCAGTGAGGCTCTGTCGTCTGTACGTCGCTCTTTTAACCGGTAACTCCACTAGGTGGTGCCGTCAGGAAAGTTAAGGGCACATTACACTGTTTTAGATCATAATATTTCCATTACTGGAACTCCTAGGAACAGCAACTATACACCAAGATTCTGGATTGCTGGGTGCGGAAGAAACACTGAACAAAGTCTAACCTGAGTGCACTGATTGCTAGTGGATGGTGGCACTTCAGAAAGCAAATTTTGGAATAATAGCTCTAGATAAATATTTAAACATTTCACTGTACTGCAACCAATACCTTGTCTGACCCAAAACATTCCACACTTAATTAGTTCCTGCAGATTCTTTTAGATAACAAAGTACAAGGTGGAATTTGTGTGGCAGAACGCTTGTATTACAACATACTTTATGGCTTTTATAATAAGGCAAATATGCAGATAAGGGAAAGGCTTGTAATTACCTCTCTGAATAGCTGCAAGGCAATGTTATATTAAAGGAAATGGGAGAAGAGTTGATAGACATGCTGGTTCTGCATTCTTTCTTTTTGGTTAATGTGGTTCAGTAAGTCACTTTAGCATAATTGTATTTTTGCGTTGTGTATAACTATAAATACAGTGGGATAATGAAGAATTTATGATTTTTGAATACTGTAATTTAATTTTTTTTAAATTACTGTCTTTATGTTCTAACCTTAGTTCTGTGGTATCCAGCTGCAAATTTTGTGCTTATGTAGAGATGTACAGTGCTCTGGATGTAGGTTTTTGTGCAAAACATTGAGTGTTCATCACGCCAGGTTATTCAACCCAGCAGTGCAGTTTTACACCTTTCTCTAGCTTTTACTTTCCTCCTCGGGGCCTCTGCTGGCGGCAGCCACATCCATAACCACAGGTGCCACAGCACAGTGATTGGCTCCTGGCATGAAAACTCATTTCCTTCCACTTTGAACCACAAGCTGGCGAGACGGGAGGGCGTCCCCAGCCCACACACTTCCCTCCAACTTCCAAGGAAACAACTGTAGTTTAGAACGTGATACGATTTTTCCACTTAAAACCAGGAGAATCTTTACCCAGAAATAGCACATACACAGCATTTGCTATTTTCAGGCAACCTCTTAATTGAACGGATTATGTGATCGCACCACGCAGGGCTGGGACTCAGCCCATGCATGAACAAGATGGTGAGCAGGGGAAGAGTTGGAGTGGGTCCAGAGGAGGGCAACAAAGATAATTAAGGGCCGGGAGCATCTCTCACCAGGAAAGGCTGAGGAGGCTGGGCCTGTTCAGCCTCTAGAGGAGATGACTGAGAAGGGACCTCATCAATGTCTATCAGTATCCAGAGGGAGGGTACCAAGTGGGTAGAGTCAGGCTCTTCTCGGTGGGGCTAAGCAATAGCACAAGAGGCAACAGGCAGAAACTGATGCATAGGAAATTCCATCCGAATACGAGAAAAAACTTCACTGTGAGGGTGACCGAGCACTGGAACAGATTGTCTGGAGAGGTCGTGGAATCTCCCTCACCGGAGATGTTCAAGAACCGTCTAGATACAATCCTATGCCATGCGCTCTAGGATGACCCTGCTTGAGCAGGGGGGCTGCACTAGATGAGCCCCTGCAGTCCCTTCCAACCTGACCCACTCTGTGAGAGCCCACGAGCGGCGGAGGCAGGTGGCAGAGCAAGCACGAACTGAGGAAGCTCGGGTTTCTTGAGAACCCGCTTGAGGTTTGTTCCACAGGAAACCCAAAACCGCACAAGGAAGGAGAGGGGAAGCTGTGGCGGAGGCACAAGCTCTCAGCCCGGTTTGCAGCCCCCGAGGGACAAAAGAGGAGTCACAGCCACCTCCACCTCGTCCCCCGGCTCCGCGGGACCGCACCGACCCCTGCGCCCACCGCGCCCCGCACCACGTGACACCGGGCGGCCAATCGGCGGGCCCGGGCGGGCGCGCGCGGGGCACCGGCGCTGCCCTCCCCGCCTTTCCCGCGCGCGCCTGCGCTCTCGCTGCCGGAGCCCCGCGGCGGCGGCGGCGACCGGGCCGGGCGGCCCCGCCCCTGCCCGCACCCCGCCCTCCCCTCCCGCGGCTCCCGCTCGGCAGCGGCGGCGGTGGCAGGTGAGGATGAGGTTGAGCGGGCGCTACCGCGTCGGCGGCGCTGCTGCTGGTGGCCGCCGGGGCTGAGGTCGCTCCCATGGCTCTGCCGGGCGCCGGGGCGGCGGCGGCCGCCGGTGGCAGCGGGGGTCCGTGCCCGCTGTGGACGGCGCTGTACGACTACGAGGCGAGCGGCGAGGACGAGCTGAGCCTGCGGCGAGGGGACGTGGTGGAGGTGCTGTCGCAGGACGCGGCGGTGTCCGGCGACGACGGCTGGTGGGCGGGGAAGATCCGCCACCGCCTCGGCATCTTCCCGGCCAACTACGTGACCCGCCAGCCCCGCGGCGGAGCGGCGACGGCGGGGGGCGGCGGGCTGGGGGACCCCGCGGGGAGCCTGACGGAGATCGACTTCCAGCACCTGGAGCTGCAGGAGATCATCGGAGTGGGGGGCTTCGGAAAGGTGTACCGGGCCACCTGGCGGGGCCGTGAGGTGGCCGTGAAGGCGGCGCGGCAGGACCCCGACGAGGACATCACGGCCACGGCGGAGAGCGTGCGGCAGGAGGCCAAGCTCTTCTCCATGCTGCGGCACCCCAACATCATCGCCCTGCACGGGGTCTGCCTGCGGGAGCCCAACCTCTGCCTCGTCATGGAGTTCGCCCGCGGCGGATCCCTCAACAGGGCCCTGGCCGCCGCCCCCGGGGCCTCGGCCTCCCGCGGGGGCCGCCGCATCCCCCCGCACATCCTGGTGAACTGGGCGGTGCAGATCGCCCGTGGCATGCTCTACCTGCACGACGAGGCCATCGTCCCCATCCTGCACAGGGACCTCAAGTCGAGCAACAGTGAGTCCCGGGCGGGGCGGGGGGGAGGTGACGAGGGACCTTCGGACCGCGACGGCGAGGGGCTGTCCCTGCCTCAGGCCGCCGGGCCCGGGGGGCTCCCGGCGTGGCGGCGCGGGGCCGGGCGGCCGGGCCTGGACGGGCTCCGTCCGGGAGCCCTGTTCCACCGCGGGATGGGTGTCGCAACTCGAGCACCTAGTGCCAGAAGCTTGGGCAAGCGGCAGGTTGGCTTGCCGGGCTGTGAGCCGGCTACGAGCTCATGGAAAGGTCGGGAGGAGCCGGGGGTACCTTCAGCGTACGCAAAGTCCTGCCCCCTCGGAGGGGAGCTCACTTAAAGCGGGATAAAATCCTGCGCGCAACCACACCTGCAAATCTACAAGGCTGTATTTACTCTGATGCGTTGTGTGGTCCTGGCTTTTGAAACTTGTCCAAGGAACCAAGTGCCTTGTAAAGAAAATACTTAAGAAGGGTATCGCTTCTGTTTCACTGCCGAACAATATGTGTTTCTGGTTTTCACTGCGTGCATTTAACATTGCTAAAATTTACCCACTTAGCCAACATTGAGGTGGAGAAAACAAATACCTTAAAACCAGTAGAAACTGTTGTTCAGATGCCAAATTTGCTTTCATCCCTTGGCATGGACAAGTGCATCTGCAAAAATGAGCGAGTTGCTCAATTCATGCTTAATGGCTCCTTGGTCCATCTGACAATACAGAAGCATCTAGGATTTTGGCCACTGTGCATTTGGAAGGCTGAATAGAGTGTTTATGGCTTGCCATTGTAGTTGAGTTTAGAAATGATGACCTGAAGGTGGAAGTCTGTGTATTTCCATAAATATCTGACGCTATCTCAACTTCTTCCTTTTTATTCTGAATATTCCAGAAGTGCAGCAATGCATTAGTCTTTTTTTTTTCCAGTTAGGAGTCCTTAAGTAGTCCAGTAGAAATAAAAAAGCTTCATTCAAGTTTGAAGGACTTTGTTTAAGAGGCTGTGTGTCTTGAAGGGTCACCATGCATGGGCTGTTAAGACAAGGCTCAGTCATGGGACTGACTGTTCCGAGAATACTTTCACTATTTGTTTGATAAAGAAAGAACCTCACTCAGCTGTGTTTGTGGTTCCATTTGTAGCACAGGCAGTGAACTCTCCGACTTTTAGCATCATGGCCAACACCTTAATTTCTAGTAAGTGTTCTGTAGGCAGCTTGTGCCCGTTTAGTTTACTGCTGTGTTCGGAATGAGCTGCTGCACTTTGAGTATTTAGTGGCTCTCCTGAGACAGAGTGGGCTGATGCATGCTAGCAGCATGTTTAGTGACAGTGACAAAGTTCGTGTCTGAAATAAATTCATAACTCCGTGGTTTAGCATAACACTGGGGGCTGAGTTGGGTACTGCTGAGAACTGATTACCATTATCATCTTTTTGTATAAGGGTAATGGCAGAGCATTTCAAAAATATAATTCTGATTATAACCTCAGCCTATGTGCCTATTCACTGCTTCCATTACTAACTCCTGTTGCAGATGCACTAAACTTGAGCTGGTTAGATCTCTCACCCGTATTTCTTAATCTTAGCAAGATACTTCAAACAAACTTCTAAGTTCGAAGAAGTATTGAATATGCTAAATAGAATTATGTTTCTTGATCATCCATCTGAATGATAATATTAGGAGACAATGGTGCACTGGTGGTACCATATACTGTTCAACAACATGAATTTAAAATGTCTGTAAGTCATGGCAGTGTCCCCTGCTCTGGTAACTCATCCATTCATCGAAGATTTCCCTTCATTCTTTTCCTGTAGTCTTTTGCAGTCTTGCACAGTGGGAGTGGAATGCTGCCAGGGTTGACTGAGCGACTTGCTTGGCGTGGATAGTAACACTTCTGCAGCAGCTGCAGCTCCAGACAGGAGTGTGGCAGCACCCATTCCTCACCTGCTTGTCGCTGCTTTCCAGGCACTGCTAGTGGTGGTTCAGTGCTCTCTCTTAAGCAGCTCTAGGTAGTATACGAATGTATCAGTTTTGTGCTGGCTTAGTTATCTTTGTTAAGAAGAATGTTTTTAATTCCTCAAACAATCAATTAGAAAAGTGACTGTCCATGATACGGTGTGGTAAGGAATGCTTCTCAAACTGTTTCCCTAGCAAGTAGGCAGGAGCTAATTTTTCCAGGCAGGGAAAGGGAGCCCCTTCTACGGGTGTATTTGATCCAGAAAAGGCATGTGCCTGGGCTTGTGGTTGGCAAGCAATAGCAAGCATTTCAAAGGCAAGCGTATTACTTCTCTCTGTGCAATTTTATGGAGTTGGGATCTCTATAGCATATCTAGTGTGGTTTCACTGATGCCAAATTGGCAGGACTGGAGAGAAAGTGCCACGAACAGAAGAGCCATGAGAGCAGCCAGCTTTTATTAACAGCAGTGACTATCTAGGTTTGAATGCCCTTGCTTCATTGTGCTCCTTTTGGGAGGTGGGAGAAGGTTTGTGTTTCTGCCAGAGTAAGGGAAATTAATAGGTAAACAAATGTTTTCCATATTGGAAAGAAAAACTAACAAACTTGGTTTTGAGGGCTGAACAAGGAAGTAAAGTGTAAGTTATGAGTTTTATAACCAGCAGAGAGAGTTTCTTCAGTTCTGGAGTCCATGTAAAATAAATTTAAATTTACAGGTTTTTCAGAAGCAGACAAAGCAAAGGTTAAAGAACACTTTTAGTTTTAGATGTGTGTGATTAAATGAAACATAGTAACCATGGTCTCTAATGTTGACTTAGGAATTGTGGGTGCTTTGTAAAACCTTGTGGTGCTGAACTGGTGAGAAGTTTCACTGACAAAGTTCATGGCCTGTTTGAGGATAACTTCTCATAAGCAGTTCTCACATTCCTCAATATACTTTGTAGATTAAGGACATAATGTAAGATTAAGATGTGAACTTTACCTAATCTAAAATCTGAATAAAAATCGTGGAAGAAAATGTGATGTTTTTTCAAGCCATTGTTAGTGAAGGAATTCTGAATTAACTGATGCTTTAACTGAAAAGGAGATGTCTTAAAAATTGCGAAAATACTTGAATATTCCTAACTCTGTCTTCTGGGTAGGAACTTAGTCTTGATTAAGCATGCTAGCTGATTATGAAAAAAAATTAGATTTTACTGGAAATAAAAGACAGGAATTCACCTACAAGACTAGACACTAATAGTTATGTGTGTCTTTTTATCACATCTCAGCTGTTTTTCTGACTCGTTCGAAGGGTAACTTTTTTGCTCTGAGGGAATCAAATTTCTTGCTTCTGAGCTGGGACGCCTCATTAGTTATAAGACCTGTGGTTGTGTAAGGGCTCAGCACAGCCTCCCCTGATTATTCTGTCCTGAAGAAAGCTTGTAATATGTTCACCAAGAGTATGCCACATTTTCACTTTTTGAAGTCAAGTATGGAGAAAACAGAGATTTGTGATTCTAGTGTTGTTTCAGACTGTGCACTGCTTCTGCCTTTAAAAAAATGTACTTTATCTCTAGTGCAGCAACCTTGTGTACTTCTAGGAAGCATCGCCATTTGTTCCGAGTATCTTACATGTGGCATAGACGTACCCATGATTACAAAGTTGATTATGTGCGTATTAAGTGTACTAGCACAGTGCTGATAAAGTGCTGTGTGCTCACTTATCATAGATGGATATGCCAGAAGGGTTCGGTTTGCTGTGGCTTTCACCAGCTCCTCCAGCAATCCAGTGTCCTTTGCAGCCCTCTGCTCTGTGAAGGGCGTTGAGTTTATATTGCTTTTTGAAATTTTCGAGGTTGGCTTGAGTTTCAAGGATTGTTGAATAAGACCATGGAAGTGACAATGCTAATGAGAGCTACTTGGAATCTGAAGGAATCAAACATACAAGCGGATAATGCACTGTAATGTCATGTTCTTCAAACTAGTATTATGAGAAGTAGTTAGAGAATAGAAATCAATTTATTTTAAAACCTTAAAAGGAAGTATGATGTGTTTTGACAGAACTGTTGTATCAGTTAATTTTGATGAGGCAAGGTGTCCTGGAGTTTGAGATAATTTGTTCTTGCTTATCTCCAGTTCTGTGCTTTTACAGGTTATTTGCAGCAGAATTGCTCAAATTATCCTGTTAAACACCTTTAAAATAAGATGGAGATGTTTTCCAGGATTCATAAAAACTGCATTCTCTCAAAATTCTCTCTTGTCTGTATAACAACTTTAGGCCAGCTGTTCAGGGAGAGGAAGACTCAGAAACTAGAGTTAAGCCTATCTGCCATTTTCTGAACTGATTTTACGTATTCTGAGATCACTAGGGTGCATAATTTCTCATTTAACTGTTTTGAAGAGGTTAAGACTTGTTCACAAGTACAGCTGGTATTAAATGTTTGAAATTCAGAATCTTGTACAGTTACCAAGATAATTCAAAATTACATTCTGTTACAATTGTCTTTGGTAGTTTTAAGAGAGAAGAGAAATGGCTTTTAAGTAGATTTGAGCATCAATGTAACTTTTTTTGAAAAGAAAGTTCCAAGATGCCCATGAAACTTGGAGTTTTGCTGTCAGTAGCACTGTACCAATTACTGTTCACATGTTGTGGTGTAACAAAACTAAAAACCCTGATGTATTCAATGGGTATGTATTCTGCATCTCAGTCTCCTCGTCTTGGCACTCCCATTTGTGGAACTTTCAGTCTCATATTGGCTCCCACTGTCCCTGGTGGGCTAAGCCTGGCTGTCCCAAGGTGCCTATGTCCAGTACTGGGTGACTCGGGCATGCTGTGTGTGCTGTAATTGGTTTGACACTGCTTGTACTGCCTGGCTAGCTGCTAAGCTCCTGGTGGCTGGTGTCTCTGAGATTTGGAGGGGAGTGGATGCTTTTCCTGGCAGATCTAACCAGAGTTCCACTGCCATAAGGCAACCGATTTTCATAAAATCCATAGAACCATGTCTTTGAGAATGTGGTATCACTTTGATAGATATCAGGTAGAATAGTGGGCCAGAAGTTATTTTAAAATAGCATTTTAAAAT